TTAAATCTCTAAACAGCCCTATTAACACATTAAAATAATGGGGGTTTTGCAGGCATTCTTAGCAGAGAAGCAAAGAGCATATTGAAAACGAAGGGGGTGAACAACAGTCCTTTCATGTCACAGGGCAAGGACTCTTATCACCTAGGCACTATCAGCATGAAAGCTGCAGTGAATTTTCTGTGTACATTCTATTAACATGGATTTCTTTTTTTATAGCACCACCTCCTCCCTGCTTCTATGCCACTGTGTAATGCTTTTTTTTCCCCTCCAACAAAGATATATTATGGTATTTTCTCATTTTTCTGATAAACTGTTGTCTACTTGCCTGGTTTTCTGTAGGTGCTCTGGGTTTGGATCATTGGAACACACACATAGGCAGTAAGATTACAGGAATTTGAGGTGACATGTAGTTTTACACATGGATTGAGTTCTGTCAGTAACTCAAATTCTGTGACTCCTCAGAAAGTCAAAATAGTGAACAAAAGAGGACACAAGGCATCACATTTATAGAAAGCCAGACTACAAAAGGCACATGGAGAGAGTAGTCGGAGCAAGTTAATTTGGTGCCCACTTAAGCTCTTAATGTTCTTAAGCTGTAAAATTGGTGGGATTTTACATACGAACACTACGTTACACAGAATATTTTAAAAAGAAGGGCAAGATTTAGAGGCTACTAAAACCTCTTAACAGCACTCTACAAGTCACAGAAAAAAATGCAAGTATTGTGTAATGTAAGTGAAGACGATTGGCTATACCAACACACTGAGCAGTCACCAAAGAACACAGACCTACACATCTGGAAACAGAACAAGACTGTTACAGGTACACTGTACAAAGAGTATCTTGACTCTTATCAACCCAATGTGTTAAAACAGCAGAAGTTTGACTTTGAGGTGCAGTTAAAGTTGAGTTCTAGACTGTCACTAACACAAGCTTCTTATCTGAGCTAAGACTGTGCAGATCTTTACACATTTAACACACTCCAAATTTTTTGAGCACAAATCTTTTTCTGTACTGCAGACACATACTTTATGGCCAGTTACCCTTAGAATTCCTGAGTAATTCTAAGGACCTACGTGTTCCTACAAAAGTTACGATTTACAAGTCAAAACCTCAGACTGATAACCAAGCATTGAAGAGTGATGCACTTTGACAGCAGGCAGGAAATATGGTGAAGCTCTGAATTCAGTAACAACTTTCACTAGGCCTTTCCTATTGCATTTTAAAACCTTAAAATATTAGAAGTAATTATTCATTTCATTGGCTGGTGGTATTAAGTCATCAGGATCAATTTTATGCTCAGTGCATCACTGTCTAGGTTTAAGAC